CTCTGTGCTGTAGTTAGCTCGGGGCTGTGCTCTGTGCTGGGCTTAGGGGGGTACAGTGCTAACACCCCCACCTTGAGGAACTGGGTCAGCATGTCCTCCTTCCTCTTGCTGAGCTCCTCCTCCGCCAGGGCCTTCTGCTGCAGGAACAGCAGACGCTCCTCCTCGCTCATGGCTGCCAGCTTCCCGGCCTTCTTCCCGCCCTTCTTCGGCATCTCGCTGCTCATCGGGCACCTCTGCCCTCTGCCCGGCCGGTCAGGGCCTCACCTCGCTCCCCGTCCGAGATCCAGATATGACTGCGCTGCTTTACAAGCTCCAGCGCTTGGAGCAGCTGTCGGCCGCTGCATGTTTAAGTACACGCATGTATGTTTGAAGAAGCCATTGAACAATGATATAAAAAAAGATATTTATTACATTCGGTTCGTTTCTGTAACTAGGACGCATGGTACAGAATTGCATATCTATTTGCCAAACATTTCCACAGATGAAACCCTACCGTCGGTGCACGGTCGATAACCAGCGCAATACGCCCGCAGTAAAAGATGTCTGTGTCAGGTGTATTTAGTAGTGTTCTGAACGGTGTGTGTACTGTAGCCGTAATATGTGCAGGCGACTGTTTTTACCTGAATGTCCGGAGAGCCGAGGCCAGGGAACTGACCGGTCCGCTGCCTTCAGTTTACACTCGTCTCCTAGCAACGGCCTGCGCGACGTCTGGCGTTCCCAATTTGTTTGGCGCCACCTAACGCGCGAAGGTGGTACTGCAGCGACACCACAGTCCGGGTCTAGAGTAGGGAGACGCGGGAGGGAGATTGAAAAATGAGCGGTTTTCACTGCACTTTAAAAAACATTTCTGCCGTCAGTAGTTCTTTATTTTGAAATTAAGGGAAATGTTCATTTTAATCTAGGGTGCGCGGTCTTATTGTTACTTTTAAACTTTGACAGATCGTCAACTGCTTGTGGGTACATTGTCCCCGTGTTAATAATTCGATTCTGTTGTACTCAGTTAAACTTATCACATTCTATGTAGTTCTCAATGTATAAGGTTTTTTATAAATGATAGCGAGGCACGGTTTGGGTTGTTGCTGTAGCTGATTGTGTTCTCTGCGAGCCGGGACAGCTGCAGCCTGAGATCCGCTCACCTGTCTGAATGCGTGGGAATAAGGGAAAACCGCTTCTCCAAGAACCGCGACTCGGTAAACGAATTCATACAGCTCCCCGATTCAGAGCACACCTGGGTGGGAGCTACTGCACTGTATTTCATTGTCATGTGTTTCTCACTCCCATACTGTACTGTTTCAGACCCCTGTACCGCCCGCTCCTGTCGTACTGTACTGTACTGTGTCTCAGACCCCTGTACCGCCCGCTCCTGTCGTACTGTACTGTACTGTACTGTTTCAGACCCCTGTACCGCACGCTTGTGGTGCGCTGTATTCCACTGTACTGTTCTGGAGCTCTGTGTTCTGTGTAAACATGTGTTTACTGAATATTACTGTTGTTCACCTCTGTACACTGTACAGCATCATATTAGAACTATCCTTAAATAGGAACAAGTAAAGGTTTATTCCATACTGAAAAGAAAAGAAACAAAGTTACAGCTGTGGAGCCTTCGTGTGTGTTACTTGAACTATCCTTTCATATTAGTGTACCGTATATGGTCCATAATGTGATTTTTCGTTCATTGAAGATAGGAAAAAGATAAGAAAAACATTACTGGACTTTTTTTATTATTATGGGAGCTCTCAAAGAAAACGAACAATACTCAAAATATTTAGATATCTATGGTGAGGACCTGTTCATGGTGCACTGTGGGATAGGAACACACCACTCACGTTCAAAGGTCCGCTCTTGGGATCCTTCCGAGAGAAAACAGTCCGCACCTTCATAAACATGTATCACTGATAATTAACCATAATACTGTTCTCTCATGTGTATATATGTGGGACTTATTTTTCACAGGTTTTGGAAAAAAATAAACACATTTGGAGCTCTTGGGGTCCCGAAAAACGGAGGAATAGTCCGTGCGGAGGAGGAGTATAAATTCGGCGGAGCTGCGGAAGCCGGTCCTCTTTCTAGCCTCCTGTTCAAGATGGTGAGTGAGGCAGAGCGGCGCGTCTGGGCCCTCTGTAGGGTGAAAAATGGTTAAAAATCACAAAATACTCTTGTATTTCCCGTCTTTTTGCGAAAGTAGAAAGTATAAACGGCGTCCGATGCCGAGTTTGAGGGAGAAGAAGTTTTGGCACAAAATGCGTTGCGGTCAGCGCGGAAGGAAGGGTAGACGCGTGGAGGATTGCTTCTGGGCCTCGTGTAGGAGAGAGGCGGAGAAAAAAATATATCTTCTCTTTGACCATCGAAGAGCGCGATACGTGTGTTGACCCGTTTTGTGAACCTGAGGGAATTTAAAAATTGCCATGTAGCGGAAAGTGGTCGAGAAGTGCCTGGTTTGTCTTACGGATAGGCTAGTAATGAGAATAATGAGTTTGTCGCAGTTTAACGAGAGGGTATTCCGTCTGCGTCTCTTCGGTTTGAAGCCGGGCGTCAAGCTGCGGTGTAAAATCGGGCAGGACGATCTGGGCGGATTGTAGTCGCTTGACTACGACTTCCAGCGTTAGCCCGTCTGTGCGGTGTTGAATATGACCTCGGCTTAGTGAGTGCGATCTTTGTTCATTAAGCCGCCGCAAAGTGGAAATGCTATTCAGTGTTTCAGCTATTCACTTTGCCCGCCGCTCTGTGGGAGTGCCGGCGTAGTGGATTCGGGCGCACTGCAGAGGAGGTCGCCTGGCAGGGCCTGAGATCCTTCTCCAGCTGTCCTCGGTCGGTCTGTGAGGCCCCCTGTAGGAAGGTGTAGCCTCTGTTGATGTTTAAGACGAGACTTGAAAACCCTCCGTTTTCCATGGGCTTTCATTCCTTACCCGTTTTTTTAATTTCTCCGTAATTAGCAAAGGAGCAAGTAGAGGTTTATTCCATGGTGAAAAGAACAGAAAAACGTTTTAGCTCTGGAGCCTTCTCCGGGTGTCGTGTTGTTTTTCTTCTATTTTCAGCCTAGAATAAACCCGTACCTGTTCCTTGGCAGCCTGCGCCTGCTGGCACGGCTACCTGCTTGAACTATTGTGTGATCAGTGTCAAGTTCCCTAGAGAGTGCTCTGTACTGAAAGGCACTATATAGGAATGTATAGCGTTGGAGCATTCCTCTGCCCCGAGTGAGATGAGCCTCCTCTCCTTTCCCCTTCAGACCAAGAAGCGAAGGAACAACGGCCGTGCCAAGAAGGGCCGTGGGCACGTCCAGCCCATCCGCTGCACCAACTGCGCCCGCTGCGTGCCCAAGGACAAGGCCATCAAGAAGTTCGTCATCCGGAACATCGTGGAGGCGGCGGCCGTCAGGGACATCTCCGAGGCCAGCGTCTTCGACTGTGAGTGCCTGGGCTGGGGTCCGGCTGCGGGGGAGCTGGGGGTGGCGTGGTCGGCCGTTTGGGTCTGGCGTGGCGTTTGGCAGACTGCTCAGTCCTCCCAGACACTCCGGGCGTTTCAGGTCCGTCGCCCGGTTTGGAATCTGTAGCATTTGATTGTGTCTGAGGACAGTTTTTCCTGGGAAGACGACAGCAGATAAAATGCTGGAATGGCATCAGGGGTCAACAGGAGGGGTCCGAGGGGCCGTGCTCGCGTGGCAGGGTTCCAGGGCTCTGTGAGCGGTATATAAGGCTTCTGCAGTCCAATCAGTGTGAGGTACCCAGATGTGTTCTGCCCTGAGATGGGTGTCCTCATCCTACATGTTGAAGTTGGAGCTTGGATGTTTCAGTTTGGCTTTTTACTGCTATCTGTGTGGAGTCTGTATGTTCTCCTCGGGTTTGTGTGGGTTTTTTCCAGGTGCTCTGGTTTCCTCCCACAGTCCAAAGACAGGCTGGAAGATTATTTGTCTTGTTCCTGGTGTGAGTGGGTGTGTCTGCCCTGTCATGCACTGGCATCCCATCCAGGGTGTGCACTGACTTTCACCTGTTGCTTGCTGGGACAGGCTCTGGCTCCCCCCAAGGCCTGAATTGCATGAAGTAGTAAATTAATGTGGCTTTTTCCTTGTAGGTCTTATGGGTTTTAGGCTTTGTGCAGTGCTCTGATTTTTCTACGAGGGTGCTTTTTAATTCAGTTGCTGTTAAGATTGCAGCGCCTCTCTACAGGGCTGAGTGCGCTTGGCAGGGGCTGAGAGCTCCAGGATAGCATGTTATACAGTGAAGGTCAGGAAAGACCGTCACATTATTGGTCTGTTTAGCTAAAAGGGTTATGTAGAATCAGGAGAGTATTCAGCCTGCCTCACTCATTTGCTTGTCAGTAGCTTATTGATCCAGACGAGCAGATCCTTGAAGGACTCCCTGTAGTCTGCCTGAAGAGTTTGACAAGAGGCCCGTTCCTCATGCTGCAGAGGAGTAGGGGGCAGTAGAGCCTTGAAACGGTCCGTGTCCTGGCCTGCGCTCGCTCCTCTGAGGCCAGAATAGGCTAACCCTTTTCCAGTGGTGTCCTCTGCAGTGCAGGAGGCACTTGGGGGCAGGTGATGGTTTTCAGAATTGACTGTAAGAGATCTGCAGTGATGTGCCTGGATCCCTTAAATAAGCTGGTCGCCTGGTTGCTCGGAAGTTAATCCAAAAAACTCCGGTGGGGGAGAGACTCCCTGAGTTCACACTCTTGATTTCCTTGGGGTTGTACTGATCTAAGGATAAAGTGAGGAAAGTAATGTTTCCTGGTCTCTGATTTTTCACATATTATTGGGGAGGTTTGGCTTTATGCAAGTCTTGGTCCGGTGTGCTCGGACTCCATTTGAAATAAAACATGCTTGAGGCAGGAGGTCTGTAGAGCAAGGCTGTGTTACTGTAGGCACAGCACACACACATAGCACTGTTGAATCTTAATGCTAATAATGGGGCAGCCTTCTGCCCGCTTAGTGCCAGCAGCGGCGCTGTGTAACCGCTGCCCTCTCCTCTCCCTTGCAGCCTACGTCCTGCCCAAGCTGTACGTCAAGCTGCATTACTGCGTGAGCTGTGCCATCCACAGCAAGGTGGTGAGGAACCGCTCCCGAGAGGCCAGGAAGGACCGCACCCCGCCGCCCCGCTTCAGACCCGGCGTGAGTGTCCCGCCGCCAGGGAAACGCCACCC